CCTTTGGACTTAGATCTTCCCCTGTAACTGTTTCTCCTCTCTTTCTTTCTACCTCTTCCCTCAGTGCTCAGCAGAGAACTTGATGGTTCACCTGTATTCTTTCTCCTGATGTCTTCTCCTAAGATAAAATCACGGATTCCCTCAAACGTGAGTGTGGTGTTTCCAGCTGAACCACTAATAGCCGTGACTGATCCTGACCAACTATCCGGTAAAGAAGATAAAAGAAGCAAAGCTTGTACCTCATCATCAAATTTGATATCTACTGATAGCAAACGGGATATAATGGTATTGAAAACATTGATATGAGTAGTAACAGAACCACCTTCCCGCATACGAGTGTTAACTAACTGTCTAATCAAGAATACCTTATTTGACGCGGAAGGTTTCTCATACATGTTTGACAACGTTGTCATAACCCCACGAGCAGTGGTCTCTTTCACGATGTTGAAAGCCACACTCTTTGTCAAAGTGCACCTGATGACGGCTAGGGCTTTTCTATCCAAGTCAGCCCATTCTTCATCCTTCATCTTCTCGGGTTTCTGACCTGTCAAACATGGAAGAAGATCTTTCTGACATAGCAAGTCCTCGACTTGCATCTTCCACCATCCAAAATCTTGCCCATCAAACTTCTCTATCCTGATCTTTCCGTCCTCAGACATCATCTCTTCTGAGTATCCCAGATCTGACCAGAGAACACGTGAGAACAGATTGAGACAAACAACCAGAACTGACCTCGAAAATTGCAGCAGCAAACTGAACAGCAAGGTTTTTCGGACTGCCCACAGATGACTATCTCGGTGGTCTTCTGATGTGTCGGCAGAAACCCTAGAGTCGCTAGGGTTGGCAGTGGAGGCAGATCTGTGTGTATGACCTAGGCTCTGATACCAGTTGTTAAGAACAAAAGCACACACACGAATATAAAGCAAGAAAGCGATAAAGAACACGAGATTTAACGTGGTTCGGTCTAATCTGACCTACATCCACAGGGGCAACTAGGGTTTGTATTATTGAGTGATGATGATTACAAGAACAGGAGATCGTATATATAGACAACTAATTAGGGTTTAACCCTTGCTGGACAAGTTATAGCAAACTGGGCTTAAAACCATTTGGGCCGGCCAAAACCCTAATCTGGTCTCCTAACTCTCAGTTGTCTACAAGTGGGCCACTTTGGGCCGATGACTACACATCACCAACAAGAACTTCTCTTTTATGCCCTTTCTTAAACAGAATATCTTCCTAGTTCAAAAAATGAAAAAAATGATTGACGTTTATTTAAACGAAGAAGAAATCTTTTGCCACATATTCATTTCTCTGAAAAGAGCATAACTGTGTTAGGGACAAAAATAAGTATGAATATTCTTACAAAATAGAGGTAATATTTTTTTACTTGAACAAAACAACTCAAATATGATAGACCTTCTCACAGAAGCGTATTTATAAAGTAAATAAATCACACAAATCTTATCATAACAATATAAAAATGTGTGCAACTATAAAGAAGATTTGTGAATTCTTAGTTGGACTTTAGGTCACCAAAGAATGTGTCATGCTAGATATGTACAGTAGTATACTTTTAAAATGGAAAAGTAATTAACCCACAACAAAAATAATTACAAAACGAAGTATAGTGACAGATGACAAACAAATACTCCGTAAACAAGTAAATGCAAGAAAAAGACTAAAGTGCGTAGGAAAATTCGTCCAAAATATAAGGAACAAATTTAGTCTTTTTTGTACTTTTCCCTTACCAATCTCAGATCAACAAATCCATTTTTCAATAATCTAAAGTTATAATTTAATAATATAAACACACAATTTACCGGGAAATCAAATCTAAAAAAACACAGTTAACCAAACTTGAATTACTTCAAAAAAAACACAGTTAACCAAGTTTCATTGCCCCTAAGAACGACCTAAAAACAGAAGTAAGATTGCTTGTAGACTAACACATGAACATGAAAACTGTGTACTACAGCTAGAATAAATACCTTGGTAGCAAATTATAAATATTCTTTAGATCGACCAAGTAAAATTTCACAAGTGGATAAACATTCTTTACAAATGAGCACAAAATTACCTTTTTTCTGTTTATCAAGTGCATATTCAAGTTCTACTTATTAAAACTCACCAACTTCAACAAAATCATGTTCCTAGAAGTTTTGGACTAATTTACATGATTTTCCCATTAGAAAATCTTCCCAAAAAAACAACCGTCAAATGTCAATTATTGGAACCCAGCCCGGCACTACAGGGGGAGAATAAAACGAATTCCCTAAAAGAGTGAAAAAAATGCATGACCTGGTCCTTTTGCGTCTATTTAGTTCGTGTGATGACTCTCTGTGTGAGTTGTATTAGTGCGCGTCTTGATCTTTGAACATCTTCATTATCACTCTCCGGAAGAGAATCAATAGCATCTGAGGCACGGACAGCGTGCTCTTTTGCAAGCTCTCTTGTTCTTTGTATACCACGACTCTTCCCAAGGTATTGCAGTGCCTATGATAAAAAAAAATTGGTTGTACACATCCAATTTTCTGATGTGGTAAAGAGAGAGGATCATGGGGAACCAAAGATGCACTCCTACAAATAAAACTTACAAGTTCCACGTTCTCAGGATCATCAAACCCCTTATCAACAAGGGAGCGCAGCTGGGGGTATTCCTCCATTGCAAACAATATTGGAGCAGTTATGATTCCCTGCACGACAAACTCTGGTCTAAACCGCCATACATCAAAGTACTACTGATGGAAGACATTAAACAAAATTCTGGTAAAAATAAATTGCAACAGAATATCAATTGCATTTTTTGGGGGACAGTAGTGTATAATCATATATTCAGATTTTTAGTCTTGACATGATAGAAATAGATAAATAAAATGAGTTTGCACCAACATCATTGTAAATTTATTGAGTTAGAACATACGACGTATGTTTTATTTCTCACATTTTCTCTCAATAATAAATTTACCTACTTCCTTTCCCTAGCATTTTCCAAGTTCTAAACAGTTAGTGTCTAGAATATCAAAGATTAAACAAATGTAAAGATTACATGTCGAATGTCTGACAACGGTCCCTTCCCAAGAGTAGCTGATGTGCCAGTAAAATCTAGAACATCATCGATTAATTGAAATGCCAGTCCCTGCACAAATATTATAGCACTGGAGCTTGTGATTCAATTTATTGCTTTAAATTGTTAAAACATTTTGTAGCATTAGTATACGAACCAGATTTTTTCCGTACTCAAATGCTAGCATAGAAACTTTTGCAGTTTGGCCAGCAAGAAGAGCAATAGATTTACAGCTATTTGAAATCAGTGATGCAGTCTTATAATATGTCTTCTGCATATAATACTCCATGCTGGGAAAAAGTTCAATTAATTATTTTAGCAATCCTGTTTGCAAATTGATATTGTTTTCTCTCAAACCAGAAAGTATATCAACAATAGATCGATCATATACTCGTACCTACAACGTTGGTCAGCACTAGTTGTCATTTGCATTGTTTCCCCAGTGACAAGGTGTTCAACAACTTTTGCTAGCAATGACACAACCTATCAAGCAAATGCAGTCTTATTAGCAAACAGAATGAACAGAGAGAGACAAAAAATGTGGTTGAAATGCTTCAGAAAAGCATGATAGCCTAATAGCCGTATGCCCAAACTACCTGTGAAAACAATGAAAATTATATGCACTTTTATATCTAAACACCCACCAGATCCTTTGCTTTTCACTGAACCCAAATGTATAAAATGTTGGGACTTTCCAAACAAGATAGAGAGAATCACAGTTTGTCCTCGATTGATTGACATTATGTAATATGGGAACCTATGCCTTTGTAATTTTAGACTCTCCATTACTATAATGAAGATACAATTACTCCCTCCCAGTAGATCTTATGGGAAGCACTCTCTGAATTCTATATCATTAAGAATGTCAAGATAAACGTCAAGCTACTGTTGAAGGAATTGATGAAATTAGCTCTGTTCCCAAACCGAAAGTTCCTTCTTATTGTGTTTTCAGGGAATTAGAAGAGCAGCGTGCAAAAGAAAAAGCTGATAGACTACGCATCTTCGCCAATCTCTCATTCAGTGATCAAATCAAGCAAGTGAAGCAACTTAAGCTTGCCCGCAAAGAATTGCATGCTAAAGTGCAGTACTCCACGCTGTTCAAAACCCTTACTGGAAACTCTTCTTCCCCAACAGTTCATTCTAACAACACCTTCGGCCTCCTTGAGGATATCCAAGAGGACCCACTTCCAGAGGAGAGCTTTGAAGACAATTTTACTCTGGTACGCTCTAAAAAAGCTAATAAGAAAGTGGCTCCAGAGATAACAATTCGAAGAAGAAGTTGTCGCACCCTCTATGGACCGCGTGGGAATAACCCACGAGGTGTAGGGGTCGTGGGAGGCCAGGCAGGGGTGACCACCATCATTATTCAAGTGGTGTCACCTTTGAAAAATTGCTCGGAACGAACTCCTGTTCCGACCACACCGGAGGGTGATCATTCCCCTTTAAATTTCTATTAACCCTGTTTTTTTGGGATTTCGCCCTCATCACTCACTTTCCTTTGTACTTTTCTTTCTTAACATTAATAAAATCATGTTTCTCTATAATAAAAAATAGATAAATGTCAATATTAAATGGTGATTTAACTAAGAACAATTGTATCTCAATTATAACAATTGAGAAATAAAATGCATACAATCGGTCCCTGATTACAAATTGTTATAAAACTGAGGGGCTAAAAGTGTGAGTTTCCCAACAAGAAAGAAAAGGTGTAATGAATTAGTTGAGAAATGCAAAGTAAGCGTGCAGACTGCATTAAAGCATGAAATATTTTGGAGCATGTGACCTCCCTCTAACTATATGAACAATAGAATGTCGGTGTAATCATTTAGTTAAAAATGCAATGCATGACTCCACACATTTTAAAGCATGAAATTTTTCTGAGTTCTGCCTTTGATAATTTCACTTGTCGCACTTTTTGAAAAAAACATGCATCTGAATGCTCATAAAACCCATGAAAGAAAGCAGAACTACGATATACCTCTGTGTTCTTCAACGAGGCAAGTGCCACACAAGCTCTGGAAAGCAGAAAGTCTCCAGCCAACACAGATAACTGCATCATTAGAGAGACAAAAGAATGTTTAGAAAGTTTTTATTTAATCTATCAACTATTTTTACTACAACAACCAACCCACTACAATTCCATAAATGGGATCTAGGGGTATGGGTATACGTAAACATCACCCTACGTACAAAAGGTAGAGATGTGGTTCCCGAAATATTTTCTGCTCAAACATGCAAAGAAAAAACAAAGCACAAAGTACCACTCATCAAGTAAAGGTAAACCAAAAGAGATCTATCAGCAATTACCACAGAAAACAATTCACTTATCAAATGAATTTCTATGTGTATACTCAAGCAAGTATCCGCCGAAGAAGATCTTGTCTCTATTAACTATTCACCAACAATGAACCCCCCCCCCTCCCTTTTCACCTTCCAAAGAGTTATGCGTACTTCATACTCTAAAACAATGTAAGAGAGACTTACTCTAATTAAAATGTAGGTTATGAAGAATGAAAACCCCTACCTTTTGCAATTGTAACATGTCAAAACAGGCCAGGTGTATAGTAGTATAGAACTAGCATTATCTGCCACTAAAATGTAAATGGTAGGCTCTGTTCTCTTCAACATATTCTTATTACTTATTACCTAAAAGAAACGACTTTAAATTTAACTAGAACCCGATCAGACCGGATCATACTAGATCAGGACTTGAAATTGAACAAGCTTCATAGGATTGTTATCCAATTTGGGACTAGCAGAAAGAGAGCCTAACATTAAATCTTGAATAATGTTGAATTACATATTTACATGACTCGTAGACATAAACTACCGAACTTACACCTTCATATTTATTTATTGACAAAAGCCTGTCAATTTCATAATCTCTGAACAAATCAAACGTCAAACAAGACAAAGTTTTGACATACACATAGGGTATTTTTCAAAATAAATTAGGGAGAAAAAAGTTCAGAGTAGCACACGCATGACCCCCCCCCCCACCTGGTTTTAGCTTTTCATATGGCGTGTTCAAAAACTGTATTTGATATTATCGCTGCAGCACCATTTTTGCATTCTTATGTGCATTGTATATGAAATTACCAATGTGTGTTATTGCACTCATATTTGTGTTCAATGTTATTACATATTGAGTTACTAAACTCATCTGTCACTCGACTTCAGCATCTTACTTCAAGTTCCATTGAGCGCAATAAAGAATTAACATCATACTCATCATGGTCGATAGTAACAATAGATTTGAAACTAGATCAAATTGAGGATTAGACCGGGCCAGGACACTACATTCTAAGAATTTTTTGAGGCCAAAGTCTGGCCCATATTGCGAGCCTAGCATTTGAAGCCGGCCAGCACAAGTAACCATGGGCTTTGGGCCCGGTCTACCTGCACTTGAAACACATATTATAAATATAGGAAACTATTTTTCACAATCCGTTAACTATTGCATATACTCATATGTAACAATAATAATAAAAACACCGTAGGTGCCCGGTCATTCTCGGGTCATTTTTTTTCTAAGGTTAAAAGAACCATGGTGTAATAATAATAATAATAATAATAATAACAACAACAACAACAACAATAATAATAATAATAATAAGAGTGCTAGAAGAGCAAGTGAGCAACCAGCATATGCAGTGTGTTTTGTCATTTAAGAATCATTACTGGTGAGTGATAACTCGATCAGCAAAAATAAAAAAATCCACTTGGTTGAATATAAATACATTCATACAATCATATATATATATATATATATGTGCGTGTGTGTTAAAACAATGAACCCGCCGGTGCCAAGCTGCGCTCTTGAAAATAAATCACATACTGGGCCCTCAAGTTTTCTGGGCCTTTACGGGCCGGACTGCACACTAAAAATAAAAGCCCAAGCCCTCTTTTTGCGGACTGGGTAAGTGCCCAAGCCCGTGACTGGGTCTAAAAGTAGCATCCATAAAGAGCTTTTTGTTCAATGTCGTGTCTCACAATTTTGATGTACTTTTTCAATAGCATAATAATGGTGAAAATTATATTTCCAACACACCAAAGTGTGATCAATTTTGATGTGTTTTAATCAGAAAAATGAATGGAGAAACTAAATGTGACTAAAAATAGAGTCCCTTCTTTTAGGAAAATAAATAGTCCCTAAGTGTAGCAAAAGTAATACTCCGTACGAAAGGACAAAATGGCAATCTTGGTTTGTTAGACAGAGAATTGTTAGTGAAACCAAAGAATTCCTGAATGGGCAACTAGTTGGTTGTGTAAAAAAGAGTTCTTTAGTTTTTAGAGATAAAAAAAGGAGTTTGTGGAGAGAGAGTGAGGGCTGAATAGTAAATGGACCAGGGGAGAGTTTATGGGAGAGAAGAGGCGTAGCTGCGAAATCCTCAAAAATTGATTCAGTCAATTTGAGAAGTAAATAATAGAAGATACTTCAATTTTTTTATTCTCAGGGTATATCGCAACCAAACAATTCATCAAAAGAAAAGAAGGTAGGGAAGGCTTATTAGCTTTCAGTTTTCACAAGACTTGGAGTTTTGATCAATTGAAGAAGCATGTCATACACCTTTAAGAACCCCAAGAGTTCGTTGTGTTTCTTCCTCCCTCACACATTTTGGTTGTGCTTTGCTGGTCAAATTCACTGTTCTATGGTCCATTGAACAGCAAACCTGCATTTATTTGTCTGTACAAAAGTTGTTGAATATGGGAAGGTGGTTAATATTTTGTAGAGGTCGAAAGATGAAGAATCTGTTTTCCTTCTTCAAACTATGTTTTCTTTGGAGATTGGGTATCTTTGTTACTTTTGAAGGACCTTCAGGCATGGCGTCATGACATGTTTGTTTCATCCCTTGACGAATGCAATTGTTGATCTATTTTATAGAGGTATGTTTGTACCCTCTGATTGGGATAAGAGGTCTGTAAAACTAACTGATTAATGGTAATAGATATGTAAAATTAAATCTTAGAGCTGTGAAATCCAGAAGCAACAAATTAAATCAGTTCATCAATTTCTAAGTAAAAATAAAAAGAAGAAAAAGAAGCAAAGTGCACCTTATTTCCCATTACAAAGTTCAGCGAACCTATTCCCCGTCTTGTTTCAGCATCATCCAGTACATCATCATGAAGTAGACTAGCAACCTGTGGGGTAACAGAATATCCATACAAGATGAATATACAAATACCTAGGAGGGAAACTGGGAGATACAGGAAACAAGGAACAAGTTACCCTTTTAGACCCTTCTTTTATTTTGTCAAATTGAAGAAAAATCCATGCAAATACCAGAAAACTTCTGTACATTTTGCCCCCAAAAAGAGTTCAGTTTTAAAAGTCAGCTTCCATTTGTAAGTAAAATTCCTATAACGCAAACCAGCAAGCGGGCTTAATCGATTACTCTAAACAGCCTTTGGAAGTAATATTGTGATATTTGGAGGTTAGCGGGTGGCGTTTGTAGGTCGCCACCCGCAAGATAGCACAAACAATAGAGGAACTAGTGTTAGAAGAACTTTGTAATAAACTAATACAAGATATGAGAAGCACACACCTTAAATAGATGCAAAAGAGGCTAGGAATGTGTTGTGATGTGCTCTAAATGAGTTAGGAAGGTGCTTGATGTGAATAAAAAATGGATGGTGTACAACTTGGAGTACATCGAGTGGTGAGCCGAATTTTCCATTTCAAAACTCCCCTCAAGCTGGAACGTTAAACTTTCAAGCTTGGATTAATACAAAAAAACACTACTCTCAAACAAAATGCAGAAACTATTTGAGCTCTCGAGGAAGCAACATTGGAGGGTTTATCAGATAGCATTTGTGTGTTCTTCACAAAGACAAGATTGAAGTGAATGTCATGTAATGCTTATGAGTTTTGCATAAAATAACATCGAACCAAATATCATGTACCACCTTAAAGAACAACTACTACGAGCTTGACTCAACCAAAGAGCAGAGTACCGGATTGCCTTTTGGAAGATTTGACATATTTACGCCCCAACGGAATGAAGACAAAAGCCGTACATAAGCGAGTCACAGCAACACGAGCTCTAGATCATACACTGGAGTTCTCGTTTTCTGTGAGCGGTTTTTTTTGTGAGCGGTGAAAGAGGGAATACTTGATGGTTGACAAGTATTGCACTTAACAGCAGCTTCCCAGGCTGGTGAAATATCTATTGGTGGCCGCCACAGCAAAATATTTCAAGTTTGCGTTTTTCTACAACAGTAACACCTTTTAAAACTTCCCAGGTTGCAGTGCCTGACTTTTCAAAGAACTCCAGCAAGAAAACACCATTTCATAACCCGTAGCCAAGTAGTCAGGCAATATTATGGACCAGCCCATGCATCCAATTATTTTTTAACAACATCCCAAAGGAATAAGCGACAACTAAGCCTTCTATCCGAAAGAAATAAGCAGGGAAGAAAATTTGATTTTCCAAGAAATACTAACAGGAAAGACTAACACATAACGACATCAGCGGTAGCAGATCATAGCCAAATTTCACCTGTGGAATTGTCGGAGGAAGTAGAACACGATGATATAGGTGGTGAACTTAAGAAATGGCTGGAAATTTGATTTCATCCAGAATAGGTAGATCACAATTGGCATTTGCAATGTGTGGCAGCTCCTCCGGACTCCGGGTACAAAAGCAAAATGATGTCGCCTGCAGAAAGCCGGGGTGTTGGATTTTTTAGATTAGCAATCAGAATTACCATATCATTAAAAGAACCTCTGAAAATGAACAGTGGAATTGCAGACAAAGGCAATGCATTTGTGAAGCCACAATGATAGGTGGGATTGATGATGGTGTTGCCTTTCTCAAAACACTTAGATATGATACATGAAGTGGCCACCAGGAAGTTCTGTTAGTGTCTGAGTTATTTGGTTTCAACACTAATGTGGCTCATGGGAGAAGGAATGATTCCAGGTCAAAGGATTCTTAGATATACCAAAGGGTAGTATGGAGCTTTCTTCCACGGGAAGGAAATTTGCTGGATGTTGTTCATCTGAGTCATCTGACAGCATGTGGTTGTCTCGATATAGTGAAACGACTATTCAGGAAATAAAGAGGGAATTGAAAACAGCAGATGCGACAAAGATGCCATTTAGAAAATTGTAAGCACCCCAAAAAAGGCTACTATACCATGTTAAGTGTTGTGATATTAGCAGCCTAGAGGGTGGCATTAGTAGTCTGCCATCCACAAGATAGCGGAAACAATATTATAGAAACTAGTATTAGAAGAAGATAGTAATAAGAAGTTATTACTTATGATGATGAATTGATGTAAGATATGAGAAGCACACACCAATATATATGTACGGCAGGCTAGATAGGTGTTGTTAATGTGTTGTAAAGTGATCTAGGAAAAGAGATGAGCTTAAGGATTCATCTTCCAAAAGATTGGTACTATGATTGACCATCCAAAAAGACTAATACTATTAAGAACAGGTGTGGTCCCAGGTCTAGACCAGTCCCGGTATCCACATAAACGGGACTTATTTGGACCAGGTTGTCTAATTAGGACCAGTCAAGTATGGCCTAGTCTGGTGCACCATCCAAGGTACAGACCTTTTTTTTTTTTGAGTATTCATTTTTTATAATTAAAAGATTAAAAACTTGACTCCATTGTCTCCTTACATCTTACAGGTAGAGGTAAGGTCTCCATACATCTTACCCTCCCAAACCCTACTTGTGAGAATACATTGGGTTTTGTTGACTTCATTATCTTCTTCATCCGCCTTCGTATTTCATTATCTTGTTATACAACAATAATATTTTTTTTGAAGGTAAAAAATCTGGATTACGAACAACAACATGAATTTTGATTTCGATGTATCTTCATATTTGATACTCCCTCTGTCCCAAAATGTTTGCCACATTAGCAAAGAGAAGCGAAATATCAAGTTTTTTCAATTCATTTTATTTAAAGATTGGTATAGAAGTAAAAAATAAAATTTATATATTTAAAAACTACATCAAAAGTTCTTCAAAACAATTGGTGACAAGAATATTTTATCAAATAATCAATGAAAACGTGCAAATAAACAAAAGTTCCCGTAACTTTTGAATAGTGAAGTGTGGCATTCTTTTTAGGAGGGAGTAAGTTTTACTACATATCATGTTATCATGTGTTTGTAGATTAGTAGACAATAATGTAAAGTACGAGATCAAATTTTTTCTTCTTTCTTTATTTATTTTCAATAATCATTTGTTAAAATAAAATAGTCATGTCACCTTTTGTTCTATAGAGTTTTTAAAGTAGTTTTTAAATATATAAATTTTAAATTTAAATTTCACACTAATATTTAAATAAATTGGATTGAAAATAACTCTAGATTTACTATCCACAATAAGACAACATTTGCGGGACAGAGTGAGTATTATATCAATAGGCATGGCGTATAATATATTGATAGTCATTGACATTGGTTAAATCAGTCTCCACCCCGATCCTGCCCCTAAGTTAAGGACCAAAAAGGATCGCTGGTCCAGGACTGGTCTATTCCTCTGCCTAAATTCGAGGATAGAATAAAGCCACCAATCATGGACCGGTCTCAAAGACTAGTTTGGTCCTAATCTTCTTCCGTCCGAGCCCGGTCAATCTTTTGATTCCTGGTCGTCATGCTAATATCTATCTAGGAAGGTGCTAGGAAAATATTGTGATAGTTGAGTGCATGAGGAAATAAAGTGTAAAGTATGCTAGATCCAAATATTTCAGCAACTTTCAAAGGTATGACTGAAAATTTGTAAAAGCTTGTACCTTGAGTGAGTTAACTAAAAATAAAAAGTTGTCTCTTACACAAACATGACTCTTTTTATAGAATAGATCCAGGGAAACAAACATTTGAAGCTTATTTGTGCCTAATGGAAGGTGAAACATTAATGAGTATTTGTTATGCTACGCATTAGAGGCTAATTGGAGATAGAAGAAGAGAGCAAAGGAACAGAGGAGCTCTTTTTATGCATATGGTGACTGGTAAGAGATTCAAATACTCACTCATGTTGCAGATATGAAGAGGGAGAAGAATTGCACATAAGGAAATATCCTAGACTTTTTTATTGAACTCTGGTCATAGTAATGTCATAAGGATACTTGGACAATCTGCCAAAAATAAGAAAATACAGAACACTGCCAATTGTGACATAATTAGAAATTAAAAGGAAATTAAATCCCTAAATTTGTGATGTAGCTGGTGCTCCATGAGTGCATCACAATTAAATTAACCAGCGGAATTGAAATGATAATGCATACATCACATAGATGTATTTCACCTACAAGGCTACCACAGAAGATGCTCTGAGTAAGAAACCAAAAACCAAAGAAATAATGCATATTTAGTTCTGAGTTACTAGGAATGCATTATTTGGATAATCCACTCTTACTTCAAATCTAGTCTCTTATTTGGGTAATGTGGATTTTGTTGTTGTTTGTCATTCCACTATTTGGGTAACCAATTCTTACTTCAAGGACGGCCTCTTATCACGTTCAACTTGTTTAGTTAACCTAATCTCCCACTACACCATACACCAAATCTGGTGAAACAAACACTACACATAATATAGCTAGGAAGCACAGAAGAACCATTCATGTATGCTGCTTCCTAAATGTTTCTTTAGCTCAGGAACTCCGAATCTTCACAGAAACATCCCCATGTCATTCTATGCATCTTGAGATACTTTTTTCACTTGTTTTTATATTTGAAACTATTCAGTTCAATGCAATGTGTTGTGGTTTGTAATTGTTCTAAACAACATCTTATTTAGTACAAAAGCTATTGTGTATTACATAGATGATTTATCAAACTTTTAACTTTAGACATGTTAAGGGTGTTTATTTGTCAATGTTAAATGATAGTAGTTCTTAAAAAATTAGTTGGAATTTTTTTAAATATAATACAAATTGTCGCCTCCTTGTCATACTTGTATCTTAGTTTTTTTGAAGATTGATGGTTGCCATCCCTGTACCCAACTCCTAACTTGTCCTCTCTCCATGCAACTTAGTTATAAAGTATAAATCTCCATAAGATGCTCTCAGCAAGTGCACAAAAGAATAAAAAAGAAAACTAACATGGATCATCTCAATGATCTCCGCTATGCAATGTTGTCTTCTGCGGACTTCCATGGGGGAAGAATCAAAAGTTACCTCAGTTGGTGAATTTGTCACTGGTGCATTTAATGCTGTTGCCATCAAAAGCACAACCTACAGAGTGCGTCAATCCATAAAATTAGTTTCGACAGGGCAAAGCATATGGAAAAATTTATGAAGATACTAACTATACACATTAGTCATGACCCACGTAGCCTTGTAAATTACTCAGAGGGTTCAGTGCTTGAATTAGTATAAGATGTGAACATCAAATAATACCGTAGGTCGAAGCCTCTTTCCTTCCACCCCTTTTTTAAAGAAATACTCAGCTGCTGAAGCAAGTTTAGGAACCTGGAAAAATGAATTACTCAGCCATATTCTAACAGAATTTAACTGTGCATACTGAAAGGACAAAAATTCAAACCTCTGCAACAACCATCGATCTCAACTTGTCGGCCACAAGTGATAATTCATCGGCCACTAGTGAAAATGGATCCAATTGTTCCTGGTATAGAGATAAAAAGGAAAATATAACATGGAAGGATATTAACTAAGTGAGAAACATTATAATGAGGATATGATTTTTCAAAATCCTGAAACGAGCTCTGCAATAAGAGGATCATAATTCCTCTTATTGACTGCAATCATTTCAGAGAACAAACCACCAGAGAAATAATCAGAAATTATATTTCATATTTGAAGTTAAAAAATGACCAATAACCTCAGCTAAAACACTGTTTTGTTGATAAACCTGCTGCCCCATACTTCTCATAGCACCTGAAACCCACTCATAAATCTCTCTCCTACCTGAAACCTAAAAATTCAAACAAGGAAAAGAAGAAAAAATTGAAATCACAAGTAAGAATCACAATACAGTAACGAAGAGATAGAAACTTTAATGTGCCTTTACAGACAATTAACATCAGAGAGTTCAAAAGGGAGAAAACAACACAGTCCTCCGACCTTTTGGGATACATCTATGGGGGACAAGAGGCTCGTGCGGGAAACCAAGTGATGCCGATGATGGAGCTCCTCGGCAGGAAAACATAACAGCCTTCTGAATCTACTGACCCCGCCTCTAGAAACTCGGGACAATTCTCTGGAGAGCAGCATCGCCACTTCTTCTACTTCTACTTCAGGATATTAGGTGTTCTTGGCGTGCGATGTGTAATATGTCGGCGACGAATAAAGATGGATTGAGCGGCGGCGGAGGCGAGGCGGCGGGGGCCTATTAACACAGGGATTGGTGCGAGGAGCGACGTGGGGAAAGGGGAGATCCTCTGGCGTTGAAGATAGATTCAAACCGACCCGCTATTGCATTGAGGTCTGGAGAGTGCAGTCCTGCCACCGCAGCATCCGTCGTCATTGAAGGAGGAGGTCCCTTTCATGGGCGGCGGCTCTAAATCTATGCGTACTCATACCTTCGGTGGCTTGGAGGGTAAAAATGGGTGGGTAAGAATATAAAGGTTTGGATTTGGAAATTAGAACGGTTCGGGCTTTGGGGCTAAAATTAAGCTTTGGCCTCTTCTCTTTTTTTAAGAACACTTCACTTCATTAAATTAAAATAGTATATCTTGGTTTTCATGACATTGAAATTCAATATCATGAAATTTCTCGAGGTTCATACGATGCTCCGTTTGAAAAATTGATAATTCCTACCCCTCTAACCTTTCGATAAACTCTCCACCCCCAGCTCGGCCCGAACTTACCCTCACACCCCCTTCAATTGCATGTCACAAGATTTAGTTGACTTTTTGACTCCAAAGTCAATTAAAACGTGTGGCATGCAATTGACGGGGATGCGGGGTATGTTCAGGCTGGGCCGGAGGTGGGGGGTTTATCGAAGGAAGATCTAGGAAGGGTAGGAATCATTAATTTTTTGAATGGAGCATCGTAGATACCCTGATCGGGACCCATGTCATCCTATGACATGGGAGGTTCATGTCACTAACCGAAATGGTGAATCAATTCACTCCCCTACATCCTACATTGAATGAATAGCATGTGCTAAAATATGTGTTGCCTCATTAGATGAGTGACGAGAAAACTGAAATATGAGCTCTTCTCCACACATGATACTGAGACTTTTGCAATCATCAATAATATAGTCAAAATAAGAATAATGGCTAACACATGAACTTAGTTGATGGATGACCTTCTTACAGTCTGACTCAAATATAGCACAAGTTCAATCTTTAGTTTTAATCCAACTGAGAGCCTCCTTCACCGCGATAGCCTCCGCTTCACGAGGACCAAAATTTCCTCTACACTAGATACTTTTTGCTAAAACGAAGCATCCATCATGGTCACGAGAAAACAAGCCAAAGCCCACATGATTCTCTATGAGCCCCACCGAAACGTCAACATTAACTTTAATGAAAGTTGAGGACGGTTTTTCCCATCCCCCTAGAGGCCTCTTCTCTTAGTACTCGTATTTCTTACTTACTCCTTCGTACCTATAAAACTGCCACATTTTGATTTTTCTTGGTACTTTTTGACTGCAAATTCTGAAAAAAGTATATTTAGTTATAATATAAATTTAGTAAATTTAGGTTTATTTAAAAATATAGTTTTGAAATATCAAATTTTTATAGTACTTAATTATTTTAAATTATATTTAATTCGTGGTCAAACGGTGCCTCCTGCATCTTTTAGGGACGGGGGAGTATTACTTATTCTTACTAGTGTTTCGACTCGTGCAGTGCACGGAGTCAAACAATTTTTTTTGTCAAGTCTTGATTTTTTTAAACAATATATTTTCCAGAATCAAGTAAATATATTTCTAACACGTTTTTCTAATCAAGTAAATATATTTCTAACACATTTTTTTAATCAATGGACAATAATGTCAAAGTAGAATAAATAATATTTGAGAAATTGAAAATGTACTCGAAAAAGTCTTTTTTAATTCAAAATCTCTGAAATACTTCAGAATACACAACATTTTTGGTATGGTTGTAAGTGTTTCATTATCATCTAGAACCAATATTTTTAATCATGTCTTTGCTTTCACTCGTGAAATATTAACATCAAGCTGACCATGAGTAAATAACAAATTGGTTAAAGAAATACAACAAAAAATAATGCTTGATCTTGACTTTTGTTAATAGTCTTAGCAAAACATAACACTATTGAGATGTCTTCTCTAGAACTTCAAGGGTAGTCTTGAATCAGATGGTACCAAATTCATTCGAATTATGTAAACTTTTTTTCCCGGCTCAATTTTCCCGAAACCTCAATTGCACTGGCAATATTCTTTCGTAACTCTTCAACGATTAATCTTTTACTGTTACATAATTTAGATGTTTGGTCAATGTTCTTTAATAACATAATCGGTACCCCTTTTTAGAACTATTTTGTGGTTTGGGATCCTCGAACATTTGATTTCATTAAAAAAACTCAACTATTATCTAATCATCTTCAAGATAATTACTCTTTTTTACCTTCTAAGATAAGGGATATGACAAGTTCATTTATCATTCAACAACCTCGAGCGTGGGTGCTAATAGTGCACTATCCAAAAAAAGAATAATATTTCATGTTCTCTAATAGGTTCACATAAGTAAAGTACACTATACTCTTGAGGGGATAACTTGCGTCAAGAATCAAGAATTCGAGCGAGATTTCAACGTTAGTAGTTCCATGGATTGTAACAAAGGATTGTAAAAAGTGAAAAGTGAGTGGTCAGAATTTTTTCAAAAGAACATATTCTTGGACTATATTCTTCTCCAAAACGAGAAACAGAAAAAGTAAATAAAAAGGTTGGGTGAAAAATTCAAGGGAGCCAGAGTATGATATTTCGAATGGATATAAAAAAAATTCTGAATTGAGTCACTTGTGGCTTATTTGGGTTATGCAAATACAAACATGATACTCGACTCATAAGATTGAAATATGCCAAGCTTCACCCGCCCATATGTAGACATAAAGTTAAGCTTAGCCCTGTCCAAGATCCATTATTCTTGTTCTAAATTGAGATTATTTACAATTATTCTTAGCACAGAAACTTTATTGGAAAAACTAAAAACTACTCCGATAAAGGGTATGTGAGAAGAGAAAATTTTGTGGCAAAGAAATATAAAAAAAAATCTGGACGGAGTCGCCTGTGGCCCGTTTGGGTTATTTAATTTAACTTCATGGGTAAATATAATTGAGGTGCATTATTTTAACAAAAAAAAAAAAATTGAGGTGCATTACAATTTTTTTAGCACAAAATTTTATTGGGGGATTAAAAAATAATCCGATAAAGGCCTGGTGAAATTAGAAAATGTGTGACAAAGATTATAAAAATGGGTTATCAAATTTATCTTCATGGGTAGATATAATTGAGGTGCATTACAATTTTTTTTTAGCACAAAATTCTTTTGGTGGACTAAAAAATAATCCAATAAAGGCCTACTGAAATTAGATATAAAAAGGGGTTATCTACTTTATCTTCATGGGTAGATATAATTGAGGTGCATTACAATTTTTTTAGCACAAAAATTTATTGGGGGACTAAAAAATAATCCGATAAAGGCCTGGTGATATTAGAAAATGTGTGACAAAGATTATAAAAAGGGGTTATCTAATTTATCTTCATGGGTAGATATAATTGAGGTGCATTACAATTTTTTTAGCATAAAAATTTATTGGGGGACTAAAAAATAGTCTAATAAAGGGCTGCTGATATTAGAAAATGTGTGACAAAGATTATAAAAAAGGGCATTCCGAGAATTGAACTCAGGACCTCTCGCACCCTAAGCGAGAATCATACCACTAGACCAAATACCCATTTTTAATACTAAGTTTTAATTTCATACACATACATTAGATATTAATTATAATCACTTAATTTTAAATTGTGGGCCTAAGGTTAACCATAGACCTACATATGAGTAAAACTTGTATTTCTTTACTACCTAGATAAGCATTTGCTTCTTTATCATATCGCACAAAAAATTCATATTTCAAAATAATGATTCAAGAAAATTATTGATATTACATTTTTGAGTATCATGAACGGATCATGAAGTACTACATAAAATTGTCATATTCTAAATGGCAAGAAAATGTTCAAAAATATATTTTTCAAATTGAAGTTCCTAAAAAATGTTTGTGCATTGAAAAGTGTGTGCATCAATGTATAAGTAAGACATGTGTTATATAATTAAGAAACATTATTTTTCCCATTTTTTAACTTTTTCCCTTTCAATGTACTACCTTTTGGCATGGATACATTTAGCATTTACATACTTTCTATAGATTTTTCCTCACAAATAATCAACACAAAATAATAATATAAGTCAATTTTAAAATATACAAACCAAAGTAAATATTATTTAAAAAATTTGAAATCAAAATAATATTACCCTTTAATTTAATTAGAATTGTGTAACAAAAAAAATAAAAACAAAAAAGAAACAAAAAGATATAACCATTTATTTTTTTATTAGAGAGTAAAAATTAGAGATTTTTTTGGAGAATATCCAAACACATTGGAGAATGTGAATTTTTTAAAAGCTAAATATTATAATTTTAATAAAACATTAAATATATTAATTTGCGATATATTTTCCCTCTTTTTTTAAATTCCAAATCTTATAAATTTAATAAAGCATTAAATATCGTAATTTGCGATATAAGTATCCATCTTTTTTATTTTTTTACCTAAATTACTTAATTTTAGAGTCATATTAATGGAAATAATTGATACTGCTGATATCCAATTACAAAGTATTCAGATATAATTCAAGGATGTGTCATTGCATCCACCACCCTCACTCAGGTTTAAATACATACGCGTTCAAAGAGATCAATATTGTGATTAAAAAAATAAAATATCGGTATCTAAATTATACCACTCGATTTTTTCATGTATTGTTGGTAGGAGCATCCATTTTTTTCTATAATAATTGAAAATATAAAAAATTAACCTGACAAGAGATGAACTAGATCAACTAGATATGTAAGACAAAAGAGAAAGGGAATATTTCAACAAAAAAGGACCTAAAAAGGTACATATTTTTATGATTATTATTTTATTTTAGCAATTCAACATACATTTGTAAAAATCATAAACATCGTTCGTAGGTTTCCTAGAAATCACGAGTGATTAAACTGTAAAATCGTTGCTTTAGATTTTTTTCATGCATCCATCATTTTAATATAGTATCCGAGTTAATGCATATGTGTTTATTAGAAATTTTTTAATATCTAAATCAAACATAATATATTTTTGTGCCTTTAATTTTTCTATGGCTCCCAATGCAATAAAGACCAACGGTAGGCCATCTGCAATATGCATCAATAGGAACGTACAAGAGAATTATATTATTTTAAAATGCTTTTAATGGTCCAACCGGGATGTACAAGCTCTTAGAGCTAGAAGACACTTACCAACAATATTGTGTAAAAGTCATTCGAGAATGCATGTGAAACATTGGGAAATTAATCAATGATAAAAAAAATTAT